AAAAAATAAAACAATTAAATAAATAAAATGATAATTTAATGCCCCAAGGAAACAGTAAATATACAGTTTGTTGAGGTGCCTATACACCTGAATACCCATGTATGAAAATGCATATAAAAGACCAAATAAGCAAAAGTTGTTGAATAGATTTGAATAAATGCAAAAGAATGAAATCAAAAAAAAAGCCCCAAATTCAAATTACACCCCAACGACATCGCGCATGCATGTCGATACACCGCATCATAATATGTGCAGTACATTAAAATATATGCAGAAAACAACAGCAATTAAAAAGGCATTTTAATTAAAATGCACAGCATATTTGAAGATATACATAATCTATAAGCCTCTCTTTTCGTCTGTAAGTATATCTTTTAATATCGTGCTGCATTTGTTCTTGTTGCTTTTAATCAATTTGCTGTGTATGCATGAATACGTATTATTATACAATGCATGTAATAATAAAGACAATAATAATAATAATAAGGATAATATAATTATTAGTATTACAATGCATGTGTTATTTGAGGTGTATATATGCTGACCTATAGAGCTCTTCAAAGGATAAAGAGGAAGCGTTATGATTAAATATCTGCACGAATGCATCGTGCAAAGACAGCCACATACGCTCTGCCTCTTCATCTGAAAGGCTCTCTGCCCCCACATAACTCAGACCCCGCATGGCGCTGTGCAGGGCTGAGCGTACGGTGGGAGGGCCCCCGTGTTTACGTCTTTCAGAATCAATATAAATCATCAAAATTATATACAAAAAATAAAACCTCAATACACCTCCACCTCCTCCACCTTCTCCTGCTCCTTCTGCTTCTCCAGATGCTGCTGCTGCTCCTGCTGCTGCTGCTGCTGCTCCTGCTGCAGTTGTTGTTTTTGTTTGTGTTGTTTCTCCTGCTGCTGCACCTGCTGCTGCTCCTGCTGCTGAGGATTAGTACTCGTATTGCTGAGGGTAGCGATGGAGGTGGTGTTAATACACCGCATTCGGGCGGTAAACAACGAACGAAGAGAAATATAGCGGGGAGAATAACACAAAAAAATGAGGGGCAGCGCTAAAGGCCTACGCTGCTCCAGCGATTACTCACGAAAGAAAACGAAAAAAAAGAAAGTGCAGAAAACAGCAGCTGATACCAAGCGAAAAGAAAATAATGACAGAAAAAGCAACACAAAGTTAAACTGCTGAACAAACCCCAATAAATACTACCGCGACCAATCGTTCAGAAAACCAACCTGCTGCTGCTGCTGCTGCTGCTGCTAGTGCTGCTACTGCTGCTGCTGCTGCTGCATCTGCTGCTGGTGAAATATAAAAAAAGATGTTGCAAAACGCATGCAGGGCCTACTACCGAATCATCCGAGTTCCCGTTCTGTTGTGCGTCCGTTTTGCTGTTCGTCTTTGTTGAGTTATAAACACAAATCTTTCCTCTAAAAGACGCCAATTCCCCCACGCGCATCTCCCTAGGGAAGGCGTCAGAAGGAAGAACCACCTCTTCTGAGTGATTATTTATTCTCGAAAATGCACAACTCGGTGATGCCTCCTTCAGTCTTTTCGCTGCAAGAAGTAGCGACAAGCGTGAAGGGGGGCTAAAGGTCGACGGGGGGTTCAAGTCGTCCTTCTGCAACTCTGAGAAACAGAATGCGTGTGGAATTCTCAAAAAAGAAGAACGGAGAGATCAGAGAGGGAGTTGAATGACAGACAATAAACGAACAGAGAGTCGGCGAGATTGACGCTGCGAGGATGCGGTGGCGGTGGAAAGGTGCCACTCGTCATGTCTATCGGCAACAGCCTCGAATGTACTTCACTGATATTGTTGTGAAGAAAGAAACAATGAATAAAAGAAGAAGGAGAGGAAATGCAGTCGCGACGGGCCGGGCTGGCCGTCGTCTGACACCCGCGGTGTATGTGCAGCTTTCGTAGGACGGAATCCCTTGATTACGTGGTGAAAAGGGGGCTTTAATGAGTTACTATTGGCGAGAACTTTGCATAAAGACAACAAATACATAGAAGATCGACTTCAACGAGCTTAATTCCCCCAGCTTTCCCCTCCAGCACTTGGCTGCGTCAACGTCGCCGCCCTCGGCATGCGGAGCTGCGGTTGATGTCTTTCGAGAAACTAAAGAGTTTTTCCACGAAATTATGAGAGAATCTTTATCGTTAGAGAGAAAGTAAGATTAAATCGTGTCAATGGAACGGCTTCTTCTAGAGGATCGCTCACTGCATGCAAGCGAAAGGTGAATTTGAATGCGTCCGGATACGCAGGCAACGAATCCTCCGTGCAGAACAATGCACTTCTTTGCCTTTGCCCACGAAAATACACTTGTTTTTGTATTCTTTTCTTGCATATCTGCATTCTCATTCACAAACAGATTCGTCTTCTTCAACTCTCCTTGTTAGATCGCGCAGCTACAAATCAACGGCCAAGTTGACCAACATGCGGTGTCTGTTCGGCAGACTGATGATTATCGACCTAATAACTGGAAAATAAGCAAAGTAAACTCTGTCTAAATCCTCTTGAATAAAATAAAACAGCGCAAAAATAAAGAAGAGTTGGTTCAATAGAAACGGCACTCCAGTCCTACGAGCATTTGCAGTGTCTGTCTGTCTGGAGGTGGTTAAGGCATTCATGTTTGTGTGTGTTGGCTTCTAAAGGCCAAGTACGTGTTTAGTGACGGCCCATTTCTGCACTATTGACGGGCTTGTTAAGCCCTGAATCCTAGGGCACCCATGCGGCGGGAGTTCTAAGCGGGTACCTGGCTTGCTACTGGAGCGCAGGTTGGCTATTGAGAGTCAAATAAGTGCGTAGCAACTGTCTAGAGTGTTAGCGCATGCATAGAAATGGGGCTTGAGTAAGCTGTCGTCTGTAATTACTTCGCAGCACGAGCTGCATGGAGGTCTCCTACAGTGAGTAGCAGCCCGCCGCCTCCCGCCCTAACCGCAGGCCCTTGTGCCACCTTGCCCAGAAAGCCTAGAGACTGGAGGGGAGCTCAGGTACTTCCTAGGAGCCCTCATATCAAGTAGTTTGACTCTCTTGCACTTCACGACTGCCGCCTTGGCCAAGATCAGGACTCTAGTTACATTATGAGACACCACATGTTAAAGCGGGGCAGGCTCTTTCAGAGCTGCTCTGTCTGGTGTACAAGATTGAACCGCCGTTAGGACATTCTTTTCTTCCACAAAAAAATATGTAGATGTGCTGCCTTAAAACTGCATAAAAGCCTACCTTTTCCCCTTCCCACAGGCTGGCGGGAGGCGAGGAAGCGGCTGGGCTCAGTGTTGCATTCGAACGAGCACAATAATTCAGGTTAAAATGATTTTTATCAAAGAGGCAATGCCGTTCTTGCCGGTCTTGGTTGATACCTCAATAGACTTCACACTCGCTCCACCGTTATTCACATGTCACGATACCCTTTTTTCTGTCCAGGACTAATTCAGCAATTATGCTCACTTCATCCCCTTCTCGAGTTAAGTCACAACAGATAAAGTTGCCCGCCCGCATCTGTTGCTTAAGGCTGAGGTATATATTGAAGCCCGAGGCAAAACTCAGGCCCAAAGGAAAAAGGCAACCTAGTGGCATGAGGGAGACCCCCGTGGCCCAAAGGAGCAGCAACAGCAACAGTTACATCTACCTCCCCTGCAGCAGCAATATATTAAGTAACTTCAGCGGTAATTTCGTAGTATGCGAGGGGCTAAACACGCTGCGCTTCTCGGAGGTTTGATGGTGTTGACCGGCTTCAGCGACAGCAGCGGCACAAGCAGTGGCAGCAAAAACAGAAACAATACAACAGCAATGAGACTGGCATATAACAGCGGCACTAACGAGAACAGCAATAACAGCAGCAATAATGCCGTCAAGCGCAGCAGCAGGAGCGGCAGCCACAGCATTACGAGTAGCAACAGCAGCAGACACTCCATCCCCAGCTATAGAAAGCGTCAACACCAAAAGAGGCAGCACCAATAGATGCAGAAACAGGAGTTGCTTCTCTTTCTTAATCGGTTACTCCTGGTGCATAACACCCGCCCTTCTGGCAGCAAATTTCCGAAGCAGCCTTCCCCTAGGTTCACGCATCCCCTAGGACCAACTAAGTGTTTAACAATTGTCTGCAATATTAGGGTTTGCTTGGGTACCTTTGCATGTGGGGTTGTGTCGCAACAGGAGTTGCAGCAAGCTGTGCTGCAACTTATGACAATGTGCTTACTTACCCAATTAGCTCCAGGTCTTTGTGTCGCTTTTCCCAGGGTCGCAGGAAACCCTGTGCCTAAGCCGCTGTTTTTAAGGGTTTCCCCCCTCCCGACTCTTTTGGCTCTAGTGCCGCTCACGCTTGTCCTGGCTACGATCGGTGTGGGCGGAGCTACATTCATATCACTATGGCATGAATATGCTATAGTGTCTTGTTCGGGTTCTGGGCAGTAATGGAGTGCGCTGGTTAGCGCTAAACAGTCCTAAGCAGCAAACATCAGCGTTCTAATTGGAGGGTCTGCGGAGGGGCCCCCCTCTATGTGTTGCTCGTGTAGCCTTACGCATATTTGGGGCTTTCCGTGCATGCGCAGACGATGGAGCTGGGTGGCAGCGTCGTTGAGGCGTGACGGCCATTTGTGTTTCAAGAGAGTTAAAGAATAATCGCATAGAGTTGAACGAATTTTTGCAGAGATGCGTTGGTCGTCGAGGTGTACGTACACCTGAACGGCGCAGCACACACCACAGGTCAGTCGCGTACGCGGCGGTTTCTACTCATCACAAGACGCGCGTTGTACTTTAAAAAGTTTTTCTTTGCTGCAGTATCCGAGTCAATTTGGTTTTATTTTTTATTCATAGAGACTTTTTATCGTTTTTCTGCTCCCCAGCGTGGCTTCCCCGGCGCCTACCGACCGCATCGCGCCTGTGAAGCCACCCTGATCGCGTCGCGTCTGGCGTTCTTTTTGATCCGCTTGTGTTTTTTATTTTAAAGTTTAAATTATTTAATTGAGTTGTAGTACATTACACCTGGATCAAGCCATGGAAGTAGCGGCGTCTTCTCCCCGAGACTTTCCGCCGCCTGCGGCTTCAAATGCAGAATCGGTACCAAGTGCGAAAATCCGAGAGGGTGATCATGCAGAATCCTCTTCTAAATCATTTGTTTCTGATCAAAAGGAAAGTGGAAATGGAAATAATGCGATGAAAACGGAACTAAGTGCCCCATTTCGGTCTGAAATGCCCAAACAAGTTTCTGAAAGGGGTGAGCACTGGACCAACTTGAACGATAAAAATTGCAGAAATAAACACTTACCAACAAAAGGTTATGCAAGAGCTCTTTTTGTACTTGTAAACTCCTCACTATTTGCACTGTCTTCACTGCATGCACTGCTGCCTGCTTACACGCCATGCTATTATTGCCTATCTTTTGTGTGTATCGCTGGTGTCTGTTCAGCGGTAGCAAACGAAACTGGAGGAAAGACTGCTGCAGCACAAGCTGCCTCACCACCAGCTGCTGCAGCACAAGCTGCTGCAGCACAAGCTGCTGCAGCACAAGCTGCTGCAGCACAAGCTGCTGCAGCACAAGCTGCAGCAACACAAGCTGCTGCAACACAAGCTGCTGCAGCACAAGCTGCAGCAACACAAGCTGCTGCACCACCAGCTGCTGCAGCACAAG